AGGCCGGGTGATGTACTGAAGGCCCCCAGCCCAGGTCCTGGCAGGTGGGGCTCCACCCATGCTGGGGAACTGGAATCTCGCCCTAGACCCAGCTGATGGCAGAGCCTTCCTCATCTCTCACTTGGCTAATCTGACACCAAAGCACCCCTGGGCCACTTCTCCTTCAGCAGGAGACTTCTTTGTCCTGTTTAACCACAGGTGATCTGTCCCTGGGGCCCAAACTATTCATTCTCATTAATGGGAACGCTTGATGTTTCTTCTGTCCTCCTGTCCCCATGTCCCCTGCTTCTTATGTCCAGGAACAATGGGAGCAGAAATGCAGGAGAAGCTCTTTGCCATGTAGGGAGGAACCCTTCTCCCTAAAGCTTTCTCTGCCCCTGGGGCCTTCCCACCTGCTGCTCTCTGAATACCATCCCATACTCACTCTTGCATCAGCTACTTTAGCTGGAGTTTTTGGTAACCTGGTATCAGTTCAGTAGATCCCTACTGAGCAGTTATTTTGCAAAAAATACAGCAGCCTGTGACTTGAATCTTCTTTTAATTTCACATTTGCGGTATCAGGCACACATTGTCTATTGTATATGAACAGAAACTTTCCTTTTTTTTTTTTTAACATCTTGTAAATTCCTGGTTGCTGCTGCCGCTGATTTCTTCTTTCCCATACCTATTTTCCTCCATAATGGAGAGGTGGGATTCAGGGTATAAAATAGAGACCCCTGGAGTCTAATTGGGAAAATGCTCACGGGGAGAAATGAAAGGATAGAGACTAACAGCAGTTCATGTCAAAAAAGAGACCCAGGGGTTTTAGGGGGCTAACTTCAACACTTGATTTGGTCAACAAATGTCAGTAATTGTCTACCCTGTGACCAAAAAAAATTGTCCCAGAAAATGAAGTACCAAATTGATGAGATTTGGCCCTGCTCTGGAGGAGGTTCCAATCACATTAGGGGGCAGGTTTATATCAGATGACTGAAATGTGTTGTGATACCTGGAGTGGGGTGAGAGAAAACACTCAGGCACCTGATCTGGCCTGGGGCAAGCCCAGGAAAGGTTTTACCAAAGAGGGGGTGGTTGGGTGGGGTCTTGAAGCATGAATAGGAGTTTGAAGAGTAGGTAAGGAAGAATGGAGATTCCTAGGAAAAGGGAGTGGCATGGATAAAGAACTAGGCATGAGAAAAATAAGGCCTGTTCAGAGATTGGCAAGACTTCCACTCTTTCTGGAGGAGAGGGGACGTAAGTAGTGGCAAGAGGCAGAACCTGGAAGGTGAGCTGGTGTGCCAGGGATGTAGAAGTGTGCAGTGAGAAGACAGCTAAGCCAGGACCCTTGCAAAGGTGGGAGGTGAGGTGGGAGTGAGGTGGGGGCAGAAAGAATCATCTGCAAGGAGGGAAGAGAACCTGGGGTTGGGGGTGAGTTGCAGGATGAGCCAGACAAAACCTGAGGCCCTGGAGGAACAAGAAAGTGTGGCCCCGGACATCAGTGTTGCATGGGGTAGCTGAAGAGCCGGGCCCCTTGATTTCTCTGTTGCTTATACACTCTTTCGTTGCTGCTATTGCTCATATACTTCTTTTAAGTCCTAAATTTCCCCTAAACTGTCCATTTAGGGGGTCTGTGGCAGGTCATGTTGACAGGAATGAAGGCTTTGCGCAAAGTAGGTGGTGAGTAATAGTAGGCTCACGAACAACTCTGTCATCATTTGCTGCTACCATTCCCATCCACACTGGCATCTTAATTTTATTTCCTCCCACAGATGGGCATGCTTTTGAAATTGTAATTTGGATCTTGGTACATTTCTGCTTAAAAATCCTTCCAGAGAAAGGCAGAACCCCATGCTGCGCTCCACGTGGCATGGCCCCCAAAACCATCTATGGCCTGGCCCCAACCTCTTCCTGGCCTTCTAGGCCTGGCCACCCTGGCTTCCTCCTAAGTCTGGAGGAGGTCAGACTCCCCACAGAGCCTCAGGTGCACACCCTGTCTCCCTGCCGCATCTCTCTGATTTCTGCCTATCCTTAGTTCCCACCTCAATGTTCCTTCCTCCAGGAAGCTGTCCAGGGAGCCTCCTCCTACCCTGCCCTTCGTAGCACTTGAGTCTTCCTGCTTTCCATAGGAAATCACACTTGTAAGCAAGTGTTCAGGTGACTTTGTGGTTATTTTCATGTCCCCTGCCTGTCCTGCCACCACTGAGTCCCTCACAGATCTGTGTTGATGCATATTTGACCACCCAACAGCTCGGCTGGCCCCATTTTCTCCTCTGCCTCCTGGCTGGCCTCTGCCATCATCCATGTCCACCTGGCTCCCAAAGTTCTGCTAAGGCCCCTGCCTCCTCTCAGAGCCTCCCTGAATGCTTCTAGCCCCTGGAGTATTCACTGCACTGCACAGATCACTCTGCATCCTTAGTTAGCTTGCATGCACCTTTTTAGGGCTGTTAAGGCATAGAAATCTTAGTCTGGCAGCCATGAAGCAGAATACTTTCTTGGCTCCTGGAAATTCCCTCATTGGTACAGTGAGTGAAATAACAGCACCCACCCCGGGTCCTTTTAGTCACACACACAAGGCCCTGTGCTCAGAAGGGCCCCACCATGGGTTAATGTTCTGTTGCCATCTTGAAATTCTTGATAGCATTTGAATAAGGGCCCGGTGTTTTCAACATGCACTGGGCCCTGCACATTGTGTAGCTGCTCCCATACCTGCCTCAAGGGGCATTGTGAGGAGCCATAGGAAGATGTGTGACATCTACGTTCTCGGGGCTGGCACCTGGTGACACTCTCAGCAGGGTCACCTGTCATCATTTTAGCTCTGCTCAACCACAACCACAGTTGATAATTCACTCTTCTGTTTGCTCAGCTTCATTAACTAAGTGCTGTGGTCAGAGACATTGATCAACTGCTGAAAACCCTTCTGCAGCTGCTCCTTACCCTTGCAGGGTTCCCAAACTCTGCCAGTCTCCAGATTCACCCCTGGAGCTTGTTAAAAATAGATTTCTGGGCTGCACCCAGCCATGCCCACTGAATCGGACTCTCCAGGGTTAGGCCCTGCAAGTGTGTGTTGGAGCAAGTTCCCAGGTGACTGACACCTTCATTAATGCCAGAACGGGAGTTTAGAAACCTCCATCCTGGGAGTTTGAACCCAAGCCTCTTGTGGTGGTGTTTGGCGTCCTTTCCATCTGGCCCTGCCTGCATTTCTCGCTCCGCTTCTGACATGTGCCCTAACCCTGTGGGGAAGTGCTGGCTCTCTCTGACTCCCTGGTGGGGTGCCTTTCACACCCATGGCACCCTGAGGGGTACTGAAGCCTTGTTCCTTTAACAGAATATATCGTTCCTTCTTTTCATGATCACCAGCACTCAGTTTTTCTTGTTCTCCAATCACATGTCACATTGCACCTTGATTTGTTTCTGCACCTTTATTCCCTGTAGCCTAAGCTGAGGGAGCTCACCTCTATACTCTTAATTAGCAGCAGTAACACACAGAATATTCCGGTTCCCTCCACACACGCCAGTGTACCCGGTGGACGTGCTCGCTGTACGTGTGTCTGCTGATTCCCCAAAGCCCAGAGCATACAGTTGGTGCTTGCCTGGCTGGTCTGTGGCTGAGTGTCTGCCATGAGTGCTCACTCTGGCTGGCAGACCCAGTGCCTCCACAGCCCTTGGTGCTCACCTTGCCCCTGGAAGGCCCCTTCTGGTTGCAGCTCAATCCTGGCCCTGTGAGAACAGCCCCTCCCTGGAGAGCCTTTCCTCCCAGGAGTCTTTTTTTTTTAGACAGAGTTTTGCTCTGTCACCCAGGCTGGAGTGCAGTGGTGTGATCTCGGCTCACTGCAACCTCAGCCTCCCGGGTTCAAGTGATTCTCCCGCCTCAAGCTTCCCAAGTAGCTGGGATTAGTAGAGATGGGGTTTCACCATGTTGGCCAGACAGGTGTCAAACTCCCAACCTTTGGTGATCTACCTGCCTCGGCCTCCCAGAGTGCTGGGATTACAGGCATGAGCCACCGTGCCCAGCCTTCCCAGGAGTCTTCATGCACAGCAGCCATTCTAGAAGGTCACACGTGCTGTGTGAAAAAGGCACCCAGTAACTGACCACTTACTTTGTAATAAGTGTTCCCTCCAGCAGTCTCTTCCCTTTCGGAAATGACCAGGGGTGGCCACAGGTTAGGCTCCTGCGCTATTGCAGCACAGCCCCCAGTCATCCCACCAAGAGATTTTTTTGTTGTCTTTTTCCCCAGACCTGTTGGGATTTAAATACTTTTCCTATTTGTTTAATTTTTCTTTTCAGCATTCACTACAGGCAGCTGGTGACCATGCCAAATGGGTTATTTACTTTTGACTAAATGCTCACTTAGGCTGTGTGTTCTTTGTAAGCTTTAATGGCTCACACCTGAGCCATCAAAGACCGTGCTGTATCGGTCTGGAATGTGCTTTCCTGAGCACCTACTGTGTGCGCTGGCTGAGGGGGAACAGATGACATAGCAGTTCAGAGCAATGTGCCATTCTGATTTTCAGAGGTCATTAGTCTCCTGGACTCATATGGCAATAATAATTCCCAACACCTTTATTTCCCAAGTGCTTCCTGTGCCGTGATCCTCAGCAGCCCTGTGGCCTAGGAATGGAAGCGTTTGTATGGCAAATGGAGCAAACCGAGGCTGGTGTTCAGCTCCTGGGTGTTACGGTCCCGCTGGTGCATTTTACCCAGAGGGCAGAAATCCGGATCAAACTGCCACCCCATACAGTCCCTTGGGCATGTTGTAAGGCTTGGGACACACTTTCTTCCTCTTGGATGTCCTTTCCAGTATGGAAAAAAGTTGGCTGCTGATGTCCAGAAACTTCCAATTCCTTAAGAGGACTTGAGCCCGGTGGAGGAGTCATGCTTGATTGAGAAGGAGGCGCTGGCCAGAAGCACCTGCTCTGCCTGCTGCTCTGTGCTACATTTCAGCTGTTGATGGTGTGAGTGCTTCCTGAGTCTTGGGAAATGCTCCTTGTAACCTCCTTTCTCTCCTCTGTCTCTTCCACAGGCACATCTCCCTAACACTTCCTGCCACCTTCCGAGGCAGGAACAGCACCCGTACGGACTACGAGTACCAGCACTCCAATTTGTATGCCATATCAGGTATGTGAGGCCACTGCCGGAGCACCACCTCCTTCCACACGTTCTCTGTCTTCTCGTGGGACCTGTCTTCTTACCTCTCTTTTCTTCCTGCCAGGGGCCCGTTCCCTGCAGGGACCAGGCCTTCCCTTTCCTTTGTGTCACCACAGCACTTAGAGAAGGGCCAAATACTCAGCATGTTTTGAAACTAATGATGAAAAACAATGTGTGGATTTCACAGGCTTGAAGGGAGGTTTCCAGAGAATACTCGCCACATTGTTCACCTGCCAGACCCGGGCAGGCTTCCCACGGGGCCTCGGGAGCAGAGCCGAGCTGAGCCCCGGTCAGCTCACCCTCCCGTATCCAAGTCTGTCCTCACCTCTCATTTCTCACAGCCAGGTTTGTGGCCAGAGGGTACACTGGCGGTCTCCCCTCACACCCCTGGAGTATCAGTCTGTGGTTTCTGAACTCGGCCTTGAAATTGATAGGGTTACCTTGGCAGGAACTTCATCAGTCCTAGTTTTCCTTTTCACCTTCGCCCAGGGAGGGGAAAACTTACAAGCCTTATTACAGAATTGAGATTCATTAGGTGCTTGGCAGTACAGGTGACTTGCTAAGAGCCGAGGAAACCCACAAACTCGCCTCCGATTATCCTGGGCCGCCAGTCAGGGGTGTTTGTGTAGAAGGGGAAAGTGGCAAATTGGTGCCACTTACCAGCACACACCCTTAATGGTGAGTGACATTTTGAACACAGGAACATGGCATTCATTCATGTACCATAATGAATCGGTTATTTAAAAGGTAATCTTTTTTCTAAAAATTGCAACTACAGGTTACTAAATAGATGAAATAGAACAATGGCATAATTCTTGTCAGTATTAGTTTTTCTCGTTATGATCACTCCCTAATAGGTTTGGAAGTATAAGCAAAAGCCAGTTGTTCCACTTCTGGGTGACATTCCTGCTGGGAAGGGGAGGGACAGGGATGTTCTTAAGCCCCCGTCCCTGGCTCCACTCCAGGATCCAGGCTCTCCAAGGGGAGAGGGAACGTGATTGTCTAAGAACAGCATCTCCAGGGAGAATTTCTTTTGTGCTGTGGCTATTTCAGCAGAGTCGACAAGGAGCATAACAAGTGTGGAAAGATGACCTATTTTGTAGAAAAGCTGAATATTTCCCCAGATGCTTAGTGGCACAGAGGTGCAGAACAGGTCTGTGGAATCCAGCAGGGCGCCCCCGTTCAGAAAGCACACAAGGGAAGCTCCATCAAAACGGATGACTTTTTTCTGCAGCTCGCAAATCTTTTTCCAGCCACAACGTTCGGCTGCACCCACTTTACCTGTTCTCTGATGGCTTTCCCAGCTGTTGGCATTTCTGCGGGAAAGAGCCACAGAGTGAAATCTCCTGTGGTTTGGCAGGAACACTGCTGTCTGCCTCTGGACCGCGGCTTCCTCGCCCCGCAGCTTTGATGAGGTGTTGTCTGGGTTCATTTCAGCTGTTAGTTTAGCAATACCAAGGTAACGGCCTCAAGACACAGGGGAAGCCATTCAGAAACTTCCTGTTACATTTATGTAAGTGGCAGTCAATTGGATTTTATCTTCCAAACAGAGGTAGTTGAGGTTACAGCCCACGGCAGCAGGCAGTTTCAGGCCTCCTCAGCGGCTGCAAGCACCAAATTGCTCTGCCAGGGTCCAGGACCGCTTTGTTGTGTTGCTGCCAGAAATACCCCGCAGGACCTGCTGGCTCCATAAGGCCTGCAAGCTCAGCACTGGGCAACTATGGCGCAACTGGGAAGCCTGCCCGCCCACCCACTGGCAGCCTGCCTGTGAGTCGTTCTGGCTAGAAGGGAGCAGAGACCACCTCCCTCACCCCCACATGAACAGTATTTGGCACCGAGTGGCCTATCTCAGTTTGTTATTGTGAAGTTAGGGTTTCCATTGGTTTCTTCCAAAAACAGTTAAGGCAAAGTGTGCCCCAGGCCCTAGCCCTTGCCCAGTACTGATGCCTTGATAGCTGGAGTTCTGCTGATAATGAAATGAATCATCAAACCGTTCTGCCTCTGAACTGGCCCTGGCATGGGTTCACTGCACACTTCAGGAGCTGAGCCTTTGGTGCAGACCCCTGGCGTGCTCTGTGTCCCTCCTGAAGACATTCGATTTATGCTCCCTTGTGTTCGGTCCCTTCCTAAGATAAGTAGATTTCAAAACAGTGTAATTAGAAATTTGAAAAACAGCCCACACTTAATGTGTGTGTATGGTTGTTAAAGTATATTAACTTTTCAGTGTTTTCTCAGTGGCATACCTGCTAGTAGTCCCTTTTCCTGTGCCTTTCACTAAGACAGTTTACTCCCACCATGCCTGCAAAGGGTGAGTGTGGCTCAGCGTTGCCAGAGACACCAGTGGAGACCGTATGTAGTCCCATCCCTGGCACACAGTGGTGCTTATGACGTGGTTATGGAAGGAAGGAAGAGATGAAGGGAAGCATTTAGCCTCCTGTCTGCCTTGCACAGGACTACCCTCCCAGGTAGTCATCCTGATTTGCTGCTTGAATGCCTGCAGTGTCTGGGGCCACCACCTCCCACCAGCCCACCCATCCCTGTGAGATCCCCCCTCGTTAAGCTGGGCTCTGTCTTCCTGTTCTTTCACATCCATCTAGCCATTTGGGATACTGTGCGTTCCACCAGCCAACATTTGCCAGCTGTTCTATGTGGTTCAGTCAATATCTCTCTCTTGCCCACAGAAGTGGGGTGAGGAGCTCTTTCTGACTCAGTGCTGAAATCCTGAGATGCTTGTGGCCTGTGCTCTTCTCTCTTGTAGCCTAATCCAAATAGCCATGAAGCCAGCATCCATCCTCACACTTGTCCTGCCAATATCTCCTAGAAAATACAGATGTGCAAAAAGATTCATCCACAAGGATAAGCACCACCACTTCCCAAAAATAATACTTTAAGACAGGGGTGGGGGTGGATATATCTCAAATGCCCCAAACAAAGATGAATGGTTAAATTACAGAATACCTATACAGTACCTTAACTTTTCAACCATCCAAAAAGTGATGGCTTAGGTTAACAGGCATATATGCATATTGCTAAGTGGAAAGAAAAACAGGTAGCAAGCCAGAATGTGAGTGTGATCTCGTTTTTAAAAGTGCATCTAAGCTGGGAGTGGTGGTACGTGCCTGTAGTCCCAACTGCTTGGGAGACTGAGGAGGGAAGATCCCTTGAGGCCAGGAGTTTGAGGCTGTAAAGCACTGTTGAGATGGCCTTTGGTAATAGCCATGGACTCCTGCCTGGGCCACACAGAGAGATCTCGTCTCTTAAAAAAAAATTAAGTAATTTTTAAAAATTAACAAAAAAATACATCTAAAGGTCTGGAAAGGTCCACGCCTGAGTGTTTACAGTGGTTTTTTTGGGACTTCCCTCTTTTTTTTGGCCTCGTTGCAGTTTCTCATTTTCCATAATAGCACGTGTTGCTTTTGTAATAAGAAAAAATGTAGACCTGGGGCTGGGCACGGTGGCTCACACCTGTAGTCCCAGCACTTTGGGAGGTCAAGGCAGGTGGATCACAAGGTCAGTAGTTAGAGACCAGCCTGACCAACCTGGTGAAACCCCATCTCTACTAAAAATACAAAAATTAGCCAGGCGTCATGGTGGGTGCCTGTAATCCCAGCTACTCAGGAGCCTGAGGCAGGAGAATCGCTTGAACCCAGGAGGCAGAAGTTACAGTGAGCTGAGATTGCACCACTGCACTCCAGCCTGGGCGACAGAGGGAGACTCCGTCT